TGATATTTACGCGTTTATTTTACAGTTACTTATTTATAATTACATTCGACCCTGAAATAGCATAGCGTTCACTTTCATTTGCCTTATAAGATCTCAATAAAAACTCATAATTGGAAAAAAAGAAAATAAAACAATGGCTTCCATCCGTTGCTGATGTTTACCTAGTAGAACCGGTCAAGTTATTAATTTTTTGTTGAAGAGCTATATTATTAATTTTAAGCGAACGTCGTCTATAGCCGGACACTGTCATAGCAGTGGTTATAAAAACAAGTAAATTATGAATTGAGCCTTTGTTTTAGTGAGGATATTGATGTTACACAACTTAAAACAATATAATGTCTCATTGGTTGGATGAGATTATCAATCGGTGCCATATATGTTTTACGTGGTAGAGCCACGCTGCAGCTATATTGTGATTATAGCACGAAGGGGTCGGCTCGACCACTCTCTCACTTAATGAATTTTAACTGGAAACGGGACATTTTATCTTAATCCTTAAGGGTGATAATGCATCTGCATTTTGATTATTAATCAAAGATAAATGTAGATGTCTATGAGCCATAGCAGTGGATGAGGGTGACAAACGAGCACACAGTCCACCTGATGGTATGTGGTTGCTGTGGCCCATAGACACCTACATCTATCCTCGTTTGCGAATCAAAATACAGATGCGTTGTCAGTCGTGATGACTAAGAAAGAATGCCTCTTTTCCTCTTTCCAGTAAAAAGAGTCTCCGGTTCTCTACACTCAACAAACGAAACAGCAGCATTAAACTACTATTTTACGCTGGTATTCTGTGAGAGCGTGGTCCTTCCCCGGTCAAGCCGACACATTCGTGCTACAACTATACTATTAATATAGCTGCAGCATGGCTCTCTACCACGTAGAAAATTTGATAAAATCCATGAAATTATAGTGTGTAATTATTGAATGTGTAGCAGTCGCAAAAATATAACAAATCGTTACTCTCATAAACCGTCACCACACGCCGCTTTTTTGTTTATTATACAATAGCACTATAATAAGATACGAGCTTTTTACCCTGCGGTTTTAACCGCGTCCGCGTAATACTGTCCAGACAGTTATGACCCACATTTATTATGAGATCGTATAATACGGAGAGCTCATGTTATCACAGAGAAACTTTCTCATATTTCGGAATGATAATGATCGCAGATTTTAGGTAAGACTAAGGCTTTTCGAATAGTAAAAACCACTCTCAAACTATGGCTCGTAGTACTACCGTACATTCATCCACCTTCTTGAATGACTTATTATCTGTTATAGTTCTTTTAACTGTTATTTATTCTGTGGTTATAGCTGTACGCTTGTGGAACTCGTTCCCTTTATATATTCACCGTTCTCTAGCCTTTTTTCTTTCAAAAATCTAATTGGAACTCTTATAATTCCTATCATACTTCGTGTACTTAATTGTATAATTTATGTACACCTTCCTTATAGCTCTTCATTGTGAAAAATTATTGCGTAATAAAGTTGTCTTAAAGCAATCGCTTACATGTAAGTAATTACTTTCAGAGCTATAAGATCACATATTGTACCTTTTTATTTGGATAATTTTGTTTTTATGTCAATACGTATTGTTGTACAGTAAAGAAAATATTGATAAATTGAAAACTGCATCAAAATAGTTTACAATCTATACTCTATACAAATAAATAAAATTGAAGTGTCTGTTTGTAATGTCGAAATAACAGCTTTTAACTATATGCATATGAAGCTGATGTTATAAGAAGTAACTTAGGCTACTTTTATTTTAGAAAAAGAATTAGGGTTCCGCGCAAAAAATTAAAGCCCATGAAAACCAATCGTAATAAATTACGCGCGGGCGAAGTCGCAGGGAACAGCTAGTTTTATAATAACTTTCATCGCCTATTTTACCGTTAGGGGTGGAGTATCCAAAAATCCTTAAATACGTGTTACCTTAAGATATCTTATATTTACGTGTTTTACGTGTTACCTACTAAGTTTCTAATTAAAAGTTTATAATAGTGTTGTGAAAGATATAATTAAAAAAACACAGTTTCTTTTTGTTTTTTTTTAAACATTACCTTTACACTAGGATTTTCTCCTGTATGAGAAACATCTAGACCCGGAACAATTATTTGTGGGCCATACAAATACTTGTTCCGTGCGGGATCCGAACCCGCGGCCCTTAGCGCTGCTACTCATTACTAAGCCACTGCGGCACGGGGCCGTCATTTCTACTGCCTGATTGTTAATCTACCTACCAAGCGTGGTGATTATAGCAGACACCACTACGTCAATAACAAGGAAAGGGGGCCATGTCCAGCAATAAATGTGCGTTCGTTTCTTATAAATTTTGACTAAATCGAATACAAAATAGCGAAATTCTTATATAAGTCCTTTCACATGGTAGAGCCATGCTTAGTGCGAGGTTTGAACCACTGAACCACTTATTTTATTTTTAAATGTCCTCGGCGATGAAAGAAATAATCGCGTGAAGTCCGCCAACATGCACTGAAGCAACGTGGAGAATTGTATAAACTATGACGTGGTAGAGCCATGCTGCAGCTACAATTTTATGGTTGTAGCACGATTGGGTCGGTTCCACTGGGGAAGGACCATACTCTCACACAATACTAGCAAAAATAGCAGCTTAATGATTCTGTGTTTCGTATGGTGAGTGTAGAGATCTGGAGATCCTGGCATCCAGATCATTGGCACGGGGCATTCTGTTTTAATCCTCAGGGGTGACAACGCGTATATATTTTGATTCTCAATAAATATAGATGTAGATGGCAATGGCCCTTTACATTTAGGTGGACTGTGTGCTTGTTTTTCACCGTTATTTTATAAAAAAATATCTACATGATCTAAGTAGTTTGTAGAATACCCTAAAAGCTATTAGACGCTACCATCGATATATATGTACTACGCACTAGATTTCACATTTCGAACATTGACTATGTTCAACTGAACTGTACTGCAATCCGTACATTAAACTAAATATTGCGTAAATCGAAGATTTGTGAATTCTATAAGATAATTATTATAGCATTTTATTTAGAAATATGTTTGTTTAGATTAAAAGAAGAGTATTTTATATTAAATTTTATATAATTTATGTAATTTATGTATGGTGTGCAATAAAGAATATTAAATAAATAAATAAAAAAAAAAATTTCTATATTTATTTTATATTAAATTTTATTTTATATTAAATTAAAGTCTTGCGCAAGCGCGGGAGATAGTAGAGTCGCGCATGCGCGAAGACATAGAGTAGCGCACAATTTTTGTTTGGAATGGCTTCTCTAGACCGTAGTACATATGACTCAATGGACGCTACACACTGATAGCATATTATATAGTAAGAAATGTAATGGTCTTAGAATATACCCTTGAAGAATTCCGCAGCACATAATTTCAGAACTGCTTATAAGAGTATAAATGCTTGTACTAGCCTACTTAATACGGATTAATCAATTAGATTTAGCTATTTCAAGGGTAGCTTTAAGAGCTCCGTCATTGAATAAGTTCTAAATAAAAATTTAATGGTTAGTCGCATGCTTTCTGTAAGTCGGAAAACGCTTAGGCCAATTTAATGAAATTTTACCTACCTACTCGGTATTGAAATGCTGATATCAGTTATAGCGTTTTCTTATTAACAAAAAGGCTACTGTATGAAAGGTCTAAAGAGAATAATGTTTAAATTTGTACAATGCATTTTTTTACTTTTTAATTATTCAGCAAAGATGAAAGATAAGGTGGGATATTTTTTGTATCCATGAGGATTATAGTTTGTTAAAAATAACAATGGGCATTTTGTATTCTGAAATGTTATTTTTTCAAACGCTCACATTATTTTAAATAGAGTGAAGAAGTTACCACAAAAACGCCTGATAGTATTTAATGATAGTTTTATCCGAGTTTAGTAAAAGGAGTTTAGATTTTATACGTGGTAGAGTCATACTGCAGCTATATTAAAAGTACAGTTGTAGCATGAATGGGTCGGCTCGACCGGGAAAGGACCACGCTCTCACAGAATATCAGCGTAAAACAGCACCTTAATGCTGCTGTGTTTCGTATGGTGAGTGTTATGTAGAGAACCGGAGATCCTATTTACTGGAAACGAGGCATTCCATCTTAGTCCTCACGGCTGACAACGCATCTGCATTTTAAATCGGCAACGAAGATAGATGTAGATGTCTATGGGCCACAGCAACCACTTACCATCAGTTGGCCTGTGTGCTCGTTTGTCACCCTTATTCTATAAAAAAAAGTGAGGAGGTTAGCAATTCAACTGTATGTTTTTCTTTTTTTTAACAATTCTAAACATTTATTCATAATAGAGAAATGATCATTTTTGTCTAAGAATAAAGAAGAGAACGCAAATCGGCTGAAATCGGTTAAAGCCAGCGGTTCCAGCGAAGCAACACTACAGTGTTATGCAGTTGTGTGGCTATAATTCGTGGTTATGTCTCATACATACGCGTTGGAATGCGCGCTATCCACATCTGTCTGACTATGTACATACATATATAAACCGCGTATCGTAAATAAATTCAATGGATAGGTATCTAATATCTATGTTTTGCCTTCACTGTTGTTTGGCTCGATTTGGTAGTTCGCAGTTCGCACAGTTTCGTGAGTAGATCGACGTGTTTGCCAGGGCACGGCATGTGTAAACATTGTGGTCAAAAGGAATGCATTAAGACGGTAGGTGCTGGTAGTGAATATTATCATGTGCGGTGATAACGTGGCGGTGAGTGCTCGCGGCTCAGTTAGCGACGCGGGCTCGCGTGGTGCGGTCGCGTACTTCGTACGTATCGATAAGAAAGTGACGTGCGGAACTCTGTGTTCGCGCTCGCGTACGCGCCGCATTCCATCGTGGGGGCCCTTCGCCGCCATTGGCCGATCCCGCGTGACGTCACACCTCGTAATGAGGTATTCAACATGGCCGTGTAGCTAGTTCGCGAGTGTGCTTCGTTATTCGTTTGAATGGATTTAATCAGTGAAATATGCCAAGGAGACGAAACGGTGAGATACCCTTGCCCGACGGATGGGATTATGCGAGGGACTTTGACGGAAAGTTATATTTCATCGACCACAACAATAGAAAAACGACGTGGATCGACCCGCGAGACAGGTAAGTTTTCCGAAGAGAAGTGTTAACCCGCAAGAGCCCCATGTCAAAACTTTACATTCCCATGCGATTTCCTACGTTTTCTGATTGAATTTATTACTTGAATAGCAGTAGAATGTTGGTGCGTTTGTTATGCTTTGTACAATTAGTGCCGTGAGTAATAAACATGGTTTTTAAATAGAATAAATTGTGAAAAACAAACTGATCGCCCGCCGCGACGCTGCTGCTCTCTGGCGGAAAACACGCGCAACCATCTCGATTTCACACGACATTCCACAATTGACTAACAACAACTGACCTAAACACAAATTATGGTTATCATTTTCGTATCCTTCAAAATGTTTGTGCTTTATTGTGGTTGACGTTTAAGACCTAAATCCTATAGCAATAGAAAGCGTTCGAATTAGGCTACAATATAATTTAATACGGATGGCAGAATTATCATCGGCTCGGAAATAGTTCAATAAAGTTTTGTGTCTCTTCGGTATGTTTAGATGGTGTTGGTGCGTATAGTTTTGGTTTTGACCGTATTGAGCGCAATACGTACTACGTAGAGAGCGCGTTGGGAGATGGAATGCACTGCATAGGCAAGCTGTTCGGTGTGAATGACAGGCCGTAGAATGCGGCCCGGGCCTGCGGCGATGGTCGCGCCTTTCTAAAGCGGCGCAAACCCCCTCGGCCCCCTCTCGCCTCCCCTGCGTCGCCACCACATCGAATTGCAGGTGCTCACAACACATCCCCATTAAATACCGATCATGTCTAGCCGTTTCTATTTACCATAGTCAAGAGGACACCTGCGACATTTTCTTAAAAAATGTAACTTAAAAGTTGCCCACCTGCAGCTAAAATGTACAGTCACCGTTAAAAATGCTAAACACCGTTTAGATGATGGCCAAAAGTGTATAATTAATCATCTTGACAAGAAGCAAAACAAAAAACCAAACGTTCAATGGAAATGTTTAGTGAATCTGAGGTTGTGCTTAAAACCGACAAGCCGCCTTTTGTAAAAAGAAGGCGCAAAAATTTTAAAGTAGCAAATGCAGTAGCAACCTTGCGTGATTACTGGCAACTAGTCCGATAGCATTGTCTATCAAATCTAAATGTAAAATTTATTATTAAAATGTGCATTTTATTGGAGTATATATTAAGTATGTTTTTCTACGCAGAGATAACTTTAAATATCTGCATTGGACTTGAATATATATTTCTCTATAAGTATTCAGGACAATCTGATCCCGAGCATTGACACTACAAAATCGTCCACACACAAGAAACATAAAGTTGTATTTTTATTGAACATTCCATACGATTGAAATACAGAATGGTATGCAAAATTGCACTTATGCAAAGTAACCGAGCTGATCGGATCGAGGATAAAAAAAACATGGTATTTGCCATCTAATAAATTCAAGGTTTTGTTCACGTAATATTGAATTTAAATGATTGCCCAATTGATTGCGTTTCCCCAGCCTGTTACCAGAAACAATTCTAATAGGTATATTAAATTTGTGTTGGAGACCTAACTAAGAACTGCGATGGGACAAAATGACCTAGAAGCAAAGCGTGCCACCGCGGTTGTCACATCACGCTGTCGAGTCGTTTCGCACTCGAAACTCGCTTACAATAAACCGAAGCACTAAGCCAATTTATTAACGCTAAAAATAACCCGGCCATGTCTCCGACGCTTACGTTATTAACCTTATACGGGCTATCTAAACGTTCCACTACTTAAATGTGCACTTCAGACTACAGATGTACATCAATATAATACTGGAAGCTGCAACCGAGATCATGCATCATTCTGGACACATACCAGTTAACACGGCCAATACTTTGTATGGAAATGGAGTTAAACTTATATCACCAACTATAAATCTTACAGTTCGTACAAAGAAATAAATAGTAACCACGATTCCAGTACGAGGTATTGCTTGCTAAATAGGCATTTGCGGTTTTCGCAGTTCACTAAAACCGGAGCCCATGAGAAGAGTAGAGACGAAAAGCAATGACAAAAAAGCGACACGTCGCTAGCCGCTTCGTGGGCGATCATCAGCGACTCGTCGTGAATCGAGGAAAAAGTTATTGTCTTTTTAACTTTGATTCAATGGTTTTTATAGGTGAAAATCCTACGAACTTTAAAGCAATGATAGTGTATTGACGTTGATGGGTGAGTGGGAACTTATGCGTGCGTTCTTGACGCCCATTTAATTATATCAGCTGAATGCGATCTTGCTCCATACCTAGTATTGTTCTCATCGCATACCAGCGTTGTGGTCCGTAGTTCATTAGCGCGTGATTGTACTGCTCTCGGAAAATTGTCTTAGTGGAACGGTATTAAATTGTAACATTCTATCTAATGCTGGATATTTTGTGAAGTATGTAAAAGTTGGTAATAGGGAGTTAAAACGATTAGAAGAAAATATTTTTCTGAATCTGATGAATCTGATTCTTTTTTAGAAATGTATCAAAGATAAATACCAAAGCTAAGGATTAGCAAATTATAAGATCCACATGTAGAAAAAAAGATTCCAAAAAACCTTTTTCAGAGAAAATATAATATTTAAACAAATTATAAGTAATAAAAATAGTATTAGTTATAAAAAAGCATAGAATTAAAAAAAAGTATCTATTAGATAAGATTCTGTAGTTAGGCAAATGATACAATAGATTAAAACGTAGTGACTTTTTGCAATAGATATTAGATATTTATTTAGGACTATGATATATGTGGTGGGGGTTGATTTAAACAAAGATTGTTTACTAAGATATATTCAAAATTATAAAATTATTAACATATCTTGTATGTATACATTAATTATTTGACATCACATATTTTATTTTCGGCTGGACTTTAAAATCCGTGTCCAAATTCGGCAGGCTACGAGAGTGACTACTGAGTACTAATAATGCGTTTGGTTCTAATAAATGTATAACAGTTCGTTGAATAACATATATTTCATATAAAATCATATTAATGAATATGAAGAACAGAAGTATGCTCATTGTTGTTATCGCTGATTTATGGAAACAAATTACTGGGACTGCCCAAATCTATTACTAAATGTTGATGTCAAATTTTTCATAGTATAATTTGGTTGTACATCAAAAGAGTGGAAAAAACTAACTCATTCACAGACCTGGCTAAGTGCACCGAGTTGGTAAAAGTAATAAATCGCTTGTTGTATGTTTTAGGTACAATAAGTAAAATATCGAATCGCTTAGCTTCCTTTCTACAAATTTAATTAAAAAAAAAGAATTAGACGTCTTCATCAACTTGCTGACTATCAAGATGCTCGTCAATAAATAGATCATTGTAAAAGTTCGCTCTAAACATATAACATAGACTATACAGACGTGTTTAGACTATAATATGTGATATGAGGTTTGTATAGCTTTTAGTGATAAATATATGTGACATGTTTGTAATATCTTCGGGTCATTGAATTGATTAAGTCGGCGTAAATGTGATATCAAATGCTAATCATATAAGACAATAAACTGATGAGTTTTGCAAGAACATGTTTCACATTGAATTCTTGTGAACATTTAGTAAACACGTCGCATGCAATGGAGTCGTCTTTACGAGATTGTGTAATTCAAGTATGTGTAAATCATCTTACGGATACTTCCCACGCACTACGCGCTCCTTGGTGCATGACGCTAAGGGGCTGGGCATTTTACAGAGTATCTTGACTTTACACAGGGGAGTTATTTATCTATGGAATTATTAATCTATGGATTTTTCATTTTCCCACAATCGTATACTGTAGAGTTATTAATAGGTGGTGTGATTAGATAAATTACTTCATCGTATCATACTTAAAATTTCAAGTTCAAAGTTTATTAAATACTAGCGTACTGCCCCGGTGATTTCCCGATCTCGACAACAGCGCCACCTATCAGGTCACCTATCAGGTGTGCATCTAAACCATTCTTGAATCAACTTAATCACACATAAAAATTTTCAGACACACACTCAGTCAGAGGAGTCTTTGTGAGATCAGAATGCGTCAGGTATATTTAATCACAAAAGAAACTCCCTAGTTCATACCTTCACATGGAAACCTCAGATATACAGTTGGATATCTTTTTTTTATACGATAAGGGTGACAAGCGAGTACACAGTTCACCTAATGGTAAGTGGTCGCTGCGGCCTATAGACAACTACATCTATCCGCATTTGCAAATCAAAATGCAGATGCGTTGTCAGCCGTGGGGACTAAGATGGAATGCCTCTTTTCCAGTAAAAATGGTCTCCGATTCGCTATACTCACCATACGATACACAGCAGCATTAAACTGCAATTTTACGTTGATTTTCTGTGAAAGCGTGGTCCTTCCCCAGTCAAGCCGACCCATTCGTGCTACAACTATACTATTAATATAGCTGCAACATGGCTCTACCACGTATACTGCAGCATGGCTATGCCACCTCTACCGATTGCGTTTACTTGAGTTCAAATAAACATTCTCTAGCTCTCTTCATTTTACAAACGCATGTTATGTTTGTCTATGATATTTTTATACTTTCTGCCTGCAGTATACAAATGTCAAAATAACGAAACACTGACCTAGTGCAAGACCAGGTACCAATCAGCAATAACCCTCTAACATAATCCACTTGAATTTACAATGCAACCTCTATCTTCACTTATTCACCGTCGACTTTGCTACCTAGTCGTTCTATATAGATTTCTACCCCATATTTTGCAAGAGAAAAGTGATACGTAGTTAGGGTGTAAGTAGTAGAATATTTGGTTAACAGGGCGCGGCGTAAGGCAAATCATCGTATAACATTGTTTACTTTGCGCATTCCTCTCAGATAAAGATGTCCTTGGCGAATTTAAGTACGCATGCGACGCCATCGGCCTGTTTGTGTTATGTCGATTTATTTTGATTCTTATGTTAATGAGTTGGCCTGCTTTTGGTATTCAAACTATTTAGCGATAAAAATTTAATGATGGAATTAAGTATTCGAGAGTTGTTTCTTGATATCCAAAAAAA